AGAGCGGCATTGTGTTCCGAGAGAGCTAAACCGCGATATGAGAGAGCGGCATTGTGTTCCGAGAGAGCTAAACCGCGATATGAGAGAGCGGCATTGTGATCCGAGAGAGCTAAACCGCGATATGAGAGAGCTGCATTGTGATCCGAAAGAGCTAAACCGCGATATGAGAGAGCTCCATTGTGGTCTGGGAACACTCAAGTTTTTAATTTCAAATAATTTGTTATTTCTTATTTTGTCATTGTTTGCTGAAGAAGACATTTATTCAAAGCGTACTTTTTTTGTTCAAGCCTAGCATACTTATCTTGTTCCGCTATTTATTTACTACTGCATGGTGAGATTTCTACTCCACCGAGCTTTGTCTATTGTCTGCGTCATGTTTGATCGTCAACTCCCTTGTATTCATTATGTCATATCTGTGACAGTTCCCTTTAGTGGTATTCCTCATTCTGATATATATAACCAGGGGTGTCAATTCAGGTTTTTTCAGGGGCGGGGGCAACATTTTGTCGGCTTGTGAAGTTGTTTATTACTGGAGGCGCCACAGTAGGCCTACATATCAATTTAAATAAAACCTGCAACTTCAGATGGAAAGGGGGGGGAGGGGGAGGGGGGGAGGTGTTTACAAATGCCCCACCCTGCCCTACCCAAATGACGTCCCTGTATAGAACATTTCTTTAAAATATTCTGATTTTCCCATGACTGTTCAGGCCGTTGGATCTCCTCCATAAGGACGTCAGAATTCTTTCTTTTCAATTTCTGATCGTTTTGCTGATCCTCGTGTTGATTTTCTTTTCACGGTCGTCATCGCTTGTAGCTTGCTCTCTCTTGCTTAGGTTAGAAAGCTTCTACAGCTTAAACGCTGATGCAACTTACAATGAAAACAAAAGTTTATAAAAAGACCAAAAAAAAAAAAAAAAAAAAAAAAAAAAAAAAAAAAAAAAAAAAATTTTTTTTTAAAAAATTATATAAAAAAAAAAAAAAAAAAAAAAAAAAAAAAAAAAAAAAAAAAAAAAAAAAAAAAAAAAAATTAAAGCTAAAGAAAAAGTGTTTTTTTTAAAAAATTATTTAAAAAAAAAAAAAAGTTTTAATGACGTCATACTTCCGCTTCCTTTCCCACCATGGAGAGGGAAAATTAGCACTTGACTATTTTCAAATTGATAAGTTGTAGAAATAATTAAGATGTTAATTTTATACCCTAAAATTCCTATCCGAACCGAGACAATGGAACACTCGATGCATTCTGGGAAGGGTTAGGTAATTCTTTTTGTATTCCATTAAAGCGCTCTAAAACGAGTTCTTTTTTTTTTCATAATACGGTAACATGAGACAATGACCACAACATTTTAAAACCTTATTTTATTCACCGTGATACTTTATTTTTGTCACGTGATTCGTGTCTCGGTTAAATTAATATACCATCTGGACATACGGTAAATTACACTTTTCAACCCATTGAAACATTTGGTGGTAGAGTGAATAGAGTGGTGGTGTGGGTAGGGTGGTGGAGTGGGCAGGGTGGTGGAGTGGGCAGGGTGGTGGAGTGGGCAGGGTGTTGGAGTGATTGGTGTGAGTGTTATATGATTACATTTCATATATTAAAAATTCAAACTCAATACATACACCATACATTTTTTATCTTCCTTTTTAATAATTTTGTGTTGTCACGCGTGACCCTCTCGTTCGGTCGATTCAGTCTCCCTCGCGTTGACCTGCACAGGGTTACAGCTTCGGTTTGCTGGGTCGAGACAGGGGAAGGGAAGGGGGGGGGGTGGGAAAATAAGAAAAGGGGATTAAAAAACAACAACCTTACCCTTCACTTCCAATAACCACGGGTTCTAACTGTAGGATACCAGGATGGGTGGGAGTGGGGGGGGGGCAACACAGAGGCATAGTATGGTGGGGGCAGGGGGGACAGATGTCCCCGGGCGCCAGCTAGTTAAGGGCACCTTGGACCAACGGACGGGGGGGGGGCAACACAGAGGCGTAGCGTGGTGGGAGCAGAGAGGGACAGATGTCCCAGGGCGCCAGCTAGTTAGGGGCACCTGGACCAACGGACGGGGGCAACAGTCGATTAATTTCTACTTTTTAGTTATATTATATAACTGGGTATTTACAGATTAAAATTTTCATCACAAAAAAATTTCAAAAAACCTTTAAAAAATACTGTCTCTGCGTAATAAATTTTAAGAAAATTCTTGTCTAATCTTAACGCGTTTAAACTCGTCTTCGAAAGAAAGTCATGTAAAAATTGTTATTATTTTTTTACCCACCAAATTGAAACAATACAAAATCCAACCCCATGACACGACAGAGGGAGCAGTGATATTTTAGAGCCCATGACAAGTTCGGCAACTAGGAATTAAAAAAGCAGATCCGAAACTCAGAATGGAACAACATAAGGTAAATAAATCCCAATAAATGTATGGAGCGTTTTCGATGCAAGAATTCACATTAGACGTTTAAATATTTATTTATAACTATCCAGTATCCAGGACCTGCTGCCTCATTCAACTATTTGTAACAGTTTTTATCAAATCTCTTGGCTCCAAGAAAAAATAAAATAAATTGTAGTGACATGGAGTCAAATATGAGCATTGGTGCATGTAAAATAAGACCAAAAAAGTTGTTAACACAATTTTTTTTTTAAATTAAAAAATGCGTGAGCGTGTTTTGGTGTTGTTTTCATTTTGATCATAGAACTGTGGCGCCACCTATCATGTTTGTGACTGTTAGCCGCAATCATGCGTGTTGCCATTTTCGTTAAACGAGAACTCGCGGTGCTTGAAATCGAAATAAACTGTTCAAAACATCAGTAAATCATTTTATAAAGCTGAATTACTTCCAATAATAAAAAAAAGTACTAATTAAAATGCAGTTTACAATAAAAAATTAATTAAAATGCAGCTTATATTCAAAATTAACTCGCGACAAATTCTTGTAACATCAGAGTCTCTCACCACCAATTACCCTAGGATCTCTACATTCTCCAACCCGGAATCTTTTCAATGTCAGCACGCCGAAAAATGAAGCCTCTTTGATAGCAGCAGCAGCCAACGAGTCGGGCGTCAAGGAACCGTCGTCTGCCACACACTCGGATGAACAAGATGAAGTCGGCCTTCTCCCGCCTCAAGATGAAGTCGGCCTTCTCCCGCCTCAAGATGCTCAAATATGCAACACCCGTCATCCAGGTGACGATCAACAGATGGGCACGTTCGATGAAGTCAATTTAGACGACAGCTCCGTCATAGAGTTTTCACACCTGCAGCTCAAATTGAAATCGCCGGTCCCAAGTCCAGCGACCAGGAGGCAGTACGCGAAGGAAGTGGTATTAGATCCTCGGCTGTTGTCGAGGCCGAGAATAGAATTTGCAGATATCGCGCTTCGCGGATCTTCGCCGCTGATACGGACACTACCCCAACAAGGTGCTTCAGAGCTGCATACGCAATACAGCGCTTCATCGATGCAGCAATTCAGCTTAACGGAGTCTTCTGTTCCAACAGATTGGACATTTCAGCCATTGGTTCTACCGGCATCACCAGTGCAGCCTCCTGTAACACTTGAGCCCCGGCAGATGTACCAACCGGAGATATTACACTGCCAGCACAGGGCAGGGGCGCATACCTTTGATCCACTGAATCATCGTGAGGATTCATCATCTAAGCAGTCACCTGAAACTTTGGCCACGCCCTTTGGTCAAACAAAGTTGGAGCCCGCCCACCCGCTCGACTGTTGCTCTGACCACGAGCCCTTTAGTCACGTGTTCAGAGAGACGGCGCCACCTTCAGACGAGTTCCTGCACCCGAGCGTCACTGCCATAACACTGGAAGCAGGACCGTCCATCAGAAGGCCCGCAAAGTCCAGCTGTGTAAACACTGCTTTGAAATTTCCATGGAGTACTCCACAGAAGTCTCCGCAATACAACTTTCTCACAGGTCAGTTAATTACAAGAGGTTTTTGAGACTGGGTAGAAGGAATGCGTCCATCCTCATCAACATCTGAGATTGGTAGAATGTATGAGTTCATCCTCATCGACATCTGAGATTGGTAGAATGTATGAGTTCATCCTCATCGACATCTGAGATTGGTAGAATGGATTCGTCCATCCTCATTGACATATGAGATTGGTAGAATGGATGAGTTCATCCTCATTGACATCTGAGATTGGTAGAATGTATGAGTTCATCCTCATCGACATCTGAGATTGGTAGAATGGATTCGTCCATCCTCATTGACATATGAGATTGGTAGAATGGATGAGTTCATCCTTATTGACACATGAGATTGGCAGAATGGATGAGTTCATCCTCATTGACATCTGAGATTGGTAGAATGGATGAGTCCATCCTCATCGACATATGAGATTGGTAGAATGGATTCGTCCATCCTTATTGACATATGAGATTGGTAGAATGGATGAGTTCATCCTCATTGACATATGAGATTGGTAGAATGGATGAGTTCATCCTCATTGACATCTGAGATTGGTAGAATGGATTCGTCCATCCTCATCGACATCTGAGATTGGTAGAATGGATGAGTTCATCCTCATTGACATCTGAGATTGGTAGAATGGATGAGTTCATCCTCATCGACATCTGAGATTGGTAGAATGTATGAGTACATCCTCATTGACATCTGAGATTGGTAGAATGTATGAGTCCATCCTCATTGACATATGAGATTGGTAGAATGGATTCGTCCATCCTCATTGACATATGCGATTGGTAGAATGGATTCGTCCATCCTCATCGACATCTGAGATTGGTAGAATGGATTCGTCCATCCTCATCGACATCTGAGATTGGTAGAATGGGTGAGTCCATCCCCACTGACATATGAGATTGGTAGAATGGATGAGTCCATCCCCATTGACATATGAGATTGGTAGAATGGGTGAGTCCATCCCCACTGACATATGAGATTGGTAGAATGGATGAGTCCATCCTCATCGACATATGAGATTGGTAGAATGGGTGAGTCCATCCCCACTGACATATGAGATTGGTAGAATGGATGAGTCCATCCTCATCGACATATGAATTTGGTAGATTAGTATAAAGCATTGAAGACTAAAAAGTATTAAGCACACGAAGAAATTTCACACCTGTATTGGATGACGTAGAAAACAGGTTTGTTGGTCATAGAAAATACCCCCGCGCTGGTCATAGTAAATACCCTCCCTCCCTGATCATAGTAAATACCCTCCCTCCCTGATCATAGTAAATACCCTCCCTCCCTGATCATAGTAAATACCCTCCCTCCCTGATCATAGTAAATACCCTCCCTCCCTGATCATAGTAAATACCCTCCCTCCCTGATCATAGTAAATACCCTCCCTCCCTGATCATAGTAAATACCCTCCCTCCCTGATCATAGTAAATACCATCCCTCCCTGATCATAGTAAATACCCTCCCTCCCTGATCATAGTAAATACCCTCCCTCCCTGATCATAGTAAATACCCTCCCTCCCTGATCATAGAAAAAAAACCTCCACACAAAAAAAATTAATTAATTTAAAAAATAAAACAACCAAAAATATTTAAAAAGAGATATTGTGTATGTGTATATATATCAATACCACTACCGTCTGATCCATGAACTAATTTTGAGTAGATCGACAAAACTTCATTGAAAGTTTTATTATAAAAATCTTAAATGAAAATGTTCAGAAAAAAATGACATATATGCATATGATAGAGGATTTATTTCATTACTCCCAACATTCATATATGTGTAGGCCGCACACGGGTAGAACAATGTCATCAGATGTCTCACGTAAAGTACTGGGTTATTCGGCGTGACATCTGTACAAAAGAAACCAGGTCACCGAGTCCATGTCCAACAGTCTTGACCAGACAAAGTGTCATAACAACTACCGGCCCATATAATTTATTGACCTCCAGGGCTCAACAATGCAATGTTTTAGAGTTGGATGCCTGCTATGAATATGTATACAAATATGTCTGGTTTGTACGGCCTGTATGTGTGTGTGTAAATGTGGAAAAAAAAAAAAACCCACCAAAACCAACGATATCTGACCACTATGAGCCCTACTATAACTTTTTATAAAATATGTTCAAGCCTCCCCAGACTCCCCGTTCCCACCACCCCCACCTTACTCCGAGTGCACACACCAGAGTCCGTTCAAAGATCAGAAGTTAGCCCACGAGGAGCGGTTCTCGAGCTCACGTCCCCAGCCACACATCAGCGTCATCCCCATGAGGGATCAACCGGACGAAGACCCTTATAAACTGTTCAGCCCCATTTACGGGCCGAAGATCGGACGGATGGACGCCCTTGATGCTATCGGGTACAACAATTTTTTCCACCCTGCCCGAGTGGGAACACGAACTCAGGTAGCGCTAGTATTAAACGCACTGCTGTGACGCCATCAAGCTTAGATCACGTGTACATGTGCTCAACATTAAATTATCAGAACATTTAAACAACAAAAAAAAAAAAGCAGGGCCGGCCTTAGGCCACTGCACCCTATGCGGCCTTAGGCCACTGCAACCTATGCGGCCTTAGGCCACTGCAACCTATGCGGCCTTAGGCCACTCAAACCTATGCGGCCGCAGTGGGCCCGGCACTTTATTTTCTAATACAAAATCTTAATTTTCACTTATTATCCTAATCCCTACCCAGACTGGGCCCCGCGCAATCCGTTTCGCATAGGGCCGCGCGATTGTTAGGGCCGCGCGATTGTTAGGGCCGGCCCTGCGTGAAAGGTTATTCAGTGGCGTTTTTATTTAATGGCATTTTTTTTGGGAGGTGATGTTAGTCCTTGGTAGTCCTTAACAAGACATTTTTAAACATTAATATAAATGGAATATGGAATATATCTTGATGGTCATACTTCATCGTTTGTGTCATATGATAGGCCTATATAATACGAGTAGTTCTACAGGCAATAAGATTTATACTCTATTGCATGTCAACACACATCCATAGCTTATAGCAGGCCGACACAACTCAAAATGTAAGACGGGTCGTTTGCTGTGCAGGCCTGGCCTATATAGCTCCATCACCAAGCCTTTCGTTTCAGCAACCCGTCCGATCGCAGTTTGAGACAGCAGCTGACCTCCGCCAATCCGGGCCCCCGAAATCTGACCACCAGGCGTTGGCATTCGTGTCTTGTCTCTTCTGCTGGCCCATTGGACTTGTGGCCATTTACTACTCCAATATGGTACACGACTTGTTTTTTTAAAATGGTGTCATCTTCCTTGATATTGATGGGGTCAATATGATTTTCATACCACTATTTAAGTTAATGATTATAAATTAATACTTACAATTTAAAAAGACAGATTCAGTTCTAATTTTGCTTAACTCTGCTGTCTGCTTGTACACATCTTGTCTCTTGGTAGACATTTTGTCTGTTGGTAGACATTTTGTCTGTTGGTAGACATCTTGTCTCTTGGTAAATATCTTGAGGCAGTTTCTGATGACACACTGTAATTTTTTGTAGTTACTAAATGGTCCATGGCAGAATATGCCATTGCACATGTTTATTTATTAAGCATGAGAGAGACATGTAAATTAAAGATACCTTTCATAATAAGAAATATTTAAAATTTTCAAACTCTATATATAACACCACCCCCACCCCGCCATATTATTGATTTCAATGGGGTCAATATAATTTGAGCAGAATTAATCACTCAATGTGTCTTTTGTTGTGACTCTAGCTTCATATAATATTTATTAAAAATCTTAATTTGTTCAATTTGTTCCAAAATAAATTAAATATAAAAGAATGCTTTAATAAAGTTTATCGAATGCATAAACACTAAAAATTAAACTAGATGGAAATTACAAGATGACAACATACTTGAATTTTTAAAGAAAACGAAGTTGTAATTTATCATCAAATAATTTAATGTGGTAACACAGACTGCCATCTTGCTGGCTGTTTTTTTTTACATTGTGAACTGATAAAATGCATATTCTCTCCCCTTCCCCCAGTGCCACATTCTCAAATCAGAAGGAGAGTATGAAAGAGCACACATCTACTCTAGGCTGGCATTCATTGCTTCCATGGCTGGCCTGGGCTCAGGAATCATAGCTTATATTATCATGTTTGTATACGAAAAGGCTGTCTACCTGTAACTAGGTCTCTACCACCAACAGCAAAATTAGGTCATGTTGCTTCCCACCATAAAAGGTATGTGTTGTGCTAAAACTATAAACAATTATTTGTTGGAAATAAATAAAACTAAGTGAAATGTGTGGACAAAGCAGTTTTCTATTAATAAAAGGTGCCAAGAGCAAATTTGCTGATTTACATTGGACAAGTCACCACATAATTTCCTTAATATTTGGTATCGAGACAATTTTCACACAGAATATGTTGTGTCTAATTTTTGCAACAACCTATTAGGATCCATGTGCTAATACTTTGTAATTTTATTAATCATGTGAAATAAAATTTAAAGTAAAGATTTCTCCTAACAATAAACATTTTTTTAACATTGCATAATCATTTAAATTACCAGTATATGTTAAAATATACTTTATTTTTTAATATCTTTAATAGCCTTACACAAATTTATTATTAAAACATTAAGAAACATACACATATTCAACAAGTATAGTTTACCAACTGAAATTAGCCCATGAAGAACTTTATTCTCAATGGTGTGCATATTTTCAACCCACAAGCCATTTAACTTGGTTCACACTAATGACATTTCAAAAAAATTATATACACATTTTTAAAAAAAAAATCCTTCTTTAGCTCATCTAATTTTTAAATTATAATAAAAAAATAATTAGCAATTTAATGATTGTGTTTAAAATGTATGTGAACATTATACACTATTTAAATATACATATCAAAATTATACTTTTGTTTATTCTTTTATTCCATCTGGAGGTGGATTTAAAAGAATTTAATTTATAGCTGATAATGAATTGATCTTATTTTCATCATTTGTTAAGACAAATTTGGAAAATGAAATAAAAAAATAAAAAAATAAAAAAACACTGAACTTGAACTTTTTTTAGTTTTCTTCTCATTTGTACAAGATTAACTTCAAAATATATATTATTATTATTATTAACCCTCTTGAGACGTAGCCTTGTTGGAGTGTCTGTGCAAAAAAAAGGACAGAGCTCTTATCACAAGCCCTGCACTCGCTTTGCAAAGATATTTATAATAAACTTATTATTTTAAAGATATAAAACTATATATATATTCATATAGGGCAGGGGTGACCAAATTGTTTATGCGGAGGGCCACATTGACAAACACAAAGCTATTGGGGGGCTGCTTGTATATTATGTCCAATTTTTACATGTCGATAAAAATTTCTCAAAATTAAAGTCAGTAAATTTGCATTTTAGCATTACCCGGTACATGACAAAAGTCAAGGACTGTTTAAAAAAAAAGGATATTTGAAAGAAATTTGATCAAAAATGTTAAAACAATCATAACAATACAAGAAATTCTGTCAAATTCAACAAAATATCTTAAAAACAAAGTAATTTAAAAAAATTTCTAAATGTCTTCGAGGCCCGCATAATATCAGTTGCCGGGCTGCATGTGGCCCGCAAAACGATCTTCATGAATCAAACTGAAATCTCAGCATTTATGAAAATGAGATATCCTGATTTGATTTGCATAATTTATGCATGTAATTTAGAATAAAATTGTCTCACTTGCAGAATTTTGTTAAATTTTTTTATTGTTGAAGTCAAAATAAGTTCTTAGCCATATTTGAATGAGATTCAATGTGAAATACTGCATAAAATATTCCCCTACAGCTATTTAAGCCTTTTGGCATATTACAGGGTCATATATTTTTAAAGAATTTATGGATGTCAATAGGTACACACATAAAAATTGATATAAAATGACAGAACACTGTAAACTATCAATGGAAGCCGTCATTTAAATGGCGAGATGAGCAAGAAAGGCAATATGCAATCTGATTAGCTGGTAAGAAGACCAACCAGCCAATCTTGAGGCTTTTATTATTAGGCTGATAGATCAGCCTAGATCAGCCTTTTCCAATTTTTGCTTAACACTCTGGGCCGATGGATTGGCCCAGCCATCTCAAGAGGGTTAAAAAGAAAAGTGACCAGCCAGACAGCTCACAATGCAGGCCTATAACTATCATCTCATTCATTCGTGCTAAGATTATCTACTATTACTATAAAGCTAAATCACTTAAACACTGACTACATTGAGGCACTGCTATATGTTGAAATAAACTTGCATCAAACTCAACAAGATCCTTCTGGAAATATATACACTCCTCCTCATACCATTTCTCAATGTCAAAGTCTGGAAAGAAGAATTTGATTTCTCTTTTTGCTGTTTCATCTGAATCTAATGGAGAGGAATAGAGGAGCAAAATTAAAATAGACACAGATTTGGTATTTAACAAACTTTAACTTATTCTTCTAAAGCTTGAATTTAATTACAGTAAGGCTGCACTATCAAATAGTTTATCATAAAACCATTAAAGATTTAACATCAATAATGGGCTTATTTTATTGCTTGAAAAAAACCAACTTTCACAATGTTCAGTTTAGTCAAAAAGCTAAGGAATTTTGAAATCAAAATACAGCATCCAATCCAAGGTGAACTGTTACATGTCATGCTGCTGAGGGGGTGCTAAATAGGGTCATTGCCATGGGTGCTAAAGAGGGTCACCGTCGTGGGTGCTTAAGAGGGCCACTGCCGAGGGTGATAGAGGGCCACTGTCGTGGGGGCTAAAGAGGGTCACTGGTACGGGTGTTAAAAAGGGCCACTGCCATGGGTGCTAAAGAGGGTCACTGCCATGGGTGCTAAAGAGGGTCACTGCTGAGGCTGCTAAAGCGGGTAACTGCTGTGGGTGCTAAAGCAGGTAACTACTGTGGGTGTTAAAAAGGACTACTGAAGTGGGTGCTAAAGAGGGTAACTGCCGTGGGTGCTAAAGAGGGTAACTGCCGCGGGTGCTAAAGAGGGCCACAGCCGAGGGTGCTAGAGGGCCACTGCTGTGGGTGCTAAAGAAGGCCACTGCTGTGGTGCTAAACAGGGCCACTGCTGTAGGTGCTTACAGAAGGGAAATGGTGAGGTGAGTTTATTATTTTTAATTTTTAAATCCAATCCACTTATAATTTCTAATCAAAACCAAACCTGAGCCGTGGGCACAGTTTCTGGTATCTGTCAGGCCATAGATTCCACGCACAGTCAGAGGTTCTTCATATACTGTCCTGTAAAATATCAGGTAAGGGTTGATAAACATACAAGTTACGCTGCATTAATTCTATTCAGTTCTTGATAAAAAATGAAGAAGAATATAGAATATTTTTGGATCACTTTGGGTAACTAATTGGGTGCATTCCTAACAGACACAATGCAATGTGTTATTAGAAATAAGCTAGATGCATCAGAATTAAACAGCATTTTTATTTACTTGAGCACTTTTGTTGGTCCCATCAGTTTTCTCCATTTTGCTACTGCATCATTTGCACATAATATATGACTCCAAAGTGGGCCGCTGTCAAAGAAATATTTGTGTGAAACTTGTGTGAAACATTATGTTACACTGATAACATAAACATTACATGCTGTACATACTGAGGCATCACTTTAACTAGTGAGCCAAAGCACTGGAGGAATTCCAATAGAAAATAACGTCAATTTTAAAAAAAAAGTTAGCAGTTGAACAGAATGAATAATTTAATAGATATATAATCTGTTACAAACTTTTAAGAAACAAAAATTATCATTTAAATGAACATACTGATAACTTTTATAAGAAGCTTTAACAAGGATGTAAGAGATTTCTGACTAAGAGAGTTACAGAGAGGAGTTTATTGCTGAAAAATGTGTTCTTTGTTATTTATGGAATACCTAACTCAAATTCCTTTAATACTGCAGTGTGTTTTTTTCTCTCCAAATTTTATATTCCCGAATCAATGTAATGAAGAGACTATTAGCATATTGAAAATGCTGAAAGGATTAATTATTGTTTTTACCTGCTCATAAATGTCACTAATCTGTTTTGAAAAAATTTTCCTGGGAAAAAGAACATGTTTAATTAAGTTGATTTACCGGCATTTAATTTCATGTCAACAAATAAATTGCTGAAAAGTAATTGGAACATTAATCATAAATAACCAGTGAATTGAATAAAGTTTATTTAACCACTGGACATTCTAAAAACAACATTCGTTAATTAATGAGAATGTAGACAGAATCAGAACCAGCACATATCCAATTATTTTAATGGTCTTAATCAATTTTGACAGATGAACTATTAAAAAGAAAACAGTATTCCTCCTTGATAGGAACCTGGATAAAAATCTCCTATTTCGAATATCTCCCCTCACTTCTCAGTAAATACACAATATCATGGCCGCCCGCAGGAGGGGGGGGGGGCAAGGGGGAAAACATGGCCCCCCCCCCCCCCCCCCCCCCCCC